TGGTAGTCGTACTGCGGTCAACACTTGCAGCATTGTCAGTAAATCAGCTGACGGCACTGAAGCTGCACCGATGGACGCAAGTGTGGCAGTAAGACTGCAAAAGAGTGATTATGAATAGAATTGTCAGAACGGCAATATTAGCTGAACTCGATATGTGACTGAGGCAGTGATCACTTGGGCAAATGAGAGATAGACACCATTCATTTGAGCGATAAAAATCGCCGCCGCCACCTCGTATAACGCAGTTCCAACCTCTATGAAGTTCTTATTTTTTACACTTGCTTTCGTACTGATATTTCTTGTCCATGCTCTTTTAGTAACAAATTTTCTCTTTATGCTACTAGTTCTATCCTTACACGATGGTGGTTCATGCGCACAAAGGAGCTTAGGATACTCAACGACACTTCAAATACGACAAAAACTGAAATTTTTTTATAAAATTGTCAAACTAAACTTATAGTGAAAACTCAAAGCTGTTCATATGTCCTTTCCTAACTACTTGTTTTTGCACACCATTCTACGTTATTGGGTATATTGTGACATCATGCCACCGCAAGAAGCGGTCAATTAAAGGAATTCTGAATAATGACAAACCTTGAAGCACTGATTAAAGAATGGAAACATATTACGTAACAAAAAAGCATTTTAGCCTCTCAAGTCAATGGTGAGTTTAGAGTGATAAAAAGAAGCATTTGATAAATCCGAAGCGTTACCATATTGATAGTGGAACCGACAGGAAGTACAAAAGGTGTAACTCTTCGATCAAAGCCGAGATTTTTTCTCCAGGTAAATGTAGGCGATTGGAAGCGTCGCTGAACTTGGAAGCTATTGCATAGAAATTACAAGAATTGGAAATATTGGGAAAAATAAATTTGGATGATAGCCGTCAAAAAGCTTCATGAGAAGGGTGGCTGGAAGCCGTCCCGAGCGTTGTTATTTACGCTTGAAGAAGTCGGCGCATAAAGGAGTACGGATTAGCTTTCGTTGTGAGGAAAATACAAGTGGAAGAGAAATGAGTGAGTGTACAACTAGTCCAGCCAATACCTGGCAATTCAATACCTGAAATCATCAAAAGGCGCTAGTATAAAACATGTTTCGAGCAGCAGCCAATGTATGTACCGGGGAGGAGCAGAGAGTAGAATCCGTGAAACTGGCTCGGGAAATAACCACTTCTAATGTATACGAATCTGTAACCCTTCGGTCTAGATTTAGAGGAAATAATGCGCCTCCGAACGAGAACTCGAATGAAAGGCAAGTCTCGTTTATGCTCCCGTTCTTTTCAAAGATAAGCACAGCTATAAAACGCTGCTTGAAGAGAGCGGGTTTAGAGCAATCGGTGGCCATTGTAGAAATACCACCGAATACTCTTAAACGCCAGCTAGTTCGCAACCGCATGTATGACCGTCTCTGTATAACGAAAGATTGCAAAATATGTCCTAACGGCAGAGACGGTGATTGCATGAGCGTAGGTACAATCTATCTAATCTCTTGCAAAGCGTGTAGTGCTAAATATTTTGGCAAAACGGGTAGGCCGCTCTATGCCCGCATAGAAGAACACCTCGCTGACAAACGTCTGGATAGACGGATTACCCCGCTAGGGACGCATAGAGAACAAAAACACGACGGAGTTGATTTTGACATCGAAGTCACCATCCTTGCGCAGAAGCAAAAAACATCAGCGCGAAAGATCTTGGAAGCGTTTTGGATCAATATGACCAATCCAACCATAAACCGCAGGGAGGAATACCTCGCAAACACTCGCGATATGAGCCAGTAATAACACTGCTGTTTTGATGGTTAAGGTGCATTACGAGCTTATGTGGTGTCCTCCCGGCGATCTCCACTTGGATCATTCAGTGGAGCACACATAAAAGCGGTGAGTATGATGTGAGTTGATTTTGTGCTTGATGCGATTGAAGTCTAGGTCTGGTGATTCTTTCTAAAGGAGTAATGGAGGTGTTTGACTGATTGGATTGCGGACAATTTGACTATTCCAAGCTCTGAAGAAGGCAAACTGCCGAAACGTCAGTTGTGAAACAGAGTTTAATGTAACACCTCGTGTTTTGCTTGAAGAAGAAAATCAGGAACTACGAAAGTAAAAAAAAAATTTTGAGAAAATGTTTCTACTGAACAAGAGAAGACAAAAATGAACATAGTACAAAAGTTAGATAATTTATAATCCATGGTCACGTAGCAAACTGATGATGGATCTCTCATCTTAGGTGTTTGCAGCTCAAAAAATTAGTTCAGTATCGATGTCTCAGCATCTGTTATTAGTGCAATGAGAAGCACAACGAGGCCATACAATGATGAGATTGTGAATTCAACTACTTTTACCCGCTCAGACGCCTCAAACTTCACATCATTACAGCCGAATGGAGTAGGATCTAGGTTTGCATGGAATAGCTTTACTTGCCTAACATATAGAATAGATTAATTTATGTACATTCTCAAAAAAAGTAGCGACTGTCTACAATATGTAAACGCAATTTTTTTGACCTTTCTGACAGATCTAGTGCTAATTTGTATACAGCGAAAACACTGTGAATTAGTTAACTAAAAGATCAAGTCGGACAAAGGACTTTGCGTGTATTCCCTGCATTGCCGAGTATAGCCACTGTGCAATACTTCAATATCGTAAATAATTGAAGAAAACAATTGCATACCGTAAATATATACATCTCAAGCATTCGTGCTGTATCAGCAAGATCACGGATTTCAAGAATTTTTTCCATAATCAAACACGTTATTCCAAAGGGAGAGTACCTGAAAATGTTAAGGGCATAGGTACGTAGGAAAATTTAAACGTTAAAAATTTAATTTACAGCATCTGAAAAGAATTCTCTATTTCACCTTTTGTAAGGCAGTGTTATGGTTTTATAACTGTGTATATTACATATATTGTATATACTTGTGCATATTGTATGATTGTATACACAGAATTTTGAGTGATATGCAAAATTTTAAACTTCGCGCCGGACTCAACCCTCGTCTAAGCATTACTGGGGCGCGTGCTAACCACTGCACTAACAGAGTTTCTACATTGGCTATCACTTCCTTCACATTCTTAGATATATAGATATAATTTCAAAACATTTTCATAGAAGTGTAAAAAAAGGAATTCTTTTAAATTAATTACATCCACTGACTGTCGCTCTAAACAGATTTAGTGTCAATATTTGCTTGCCACACTGAACCACACGTTCACCATTCAATAAATACAATATCAATCGTGATCTTTGAATGCTTGACTCTGTGACTTTGTTTGTCATGAGTTTACCAAGAGTGTGAAAAAGATGGCAAAACTGAGTCGAAATGATTACTAAATAGCTAAAAGTGTTGAGTGGATAATATTATGAGTAATCGAGAAGTGCGTTGAAAGGAAACATTTCGTTAGTTTCATTTACTCATCTAAATCTCATCTTTCTGACTTATAACTTGTACTTCAAAAATGGCTGCAAAATCATGACATTAGTGTGAAAGGGTGAAAGGTGTTCTTGCAGATTGTGAGATTTTTTATTACTTTGAAATCTAATACAATATGTTTTCATCTAAGAGCTTCGGCAAGGTTTGTTTTTAGGCATAAGTGGGGCGTATCATTGCTTTTCGGAAAAAGCAGTTCATTTGAGCGAAATGAAAGAGGTCATGAACTGTTAGGCTATGATTGATCCCTAAACAAGACGAGAATCTTTTTAGAAATCACGTTATCGGAACAACTGACGAAGCACGTTGGTGCCGTCGTTGTATTCAAGTGCAGCTTTCACTTAGTCAAGAGTGCCATTGTTGAGCATCTCCAGATGGATTGAGTCGCTTAGTTTCAGAATTTTTAGACGAACAGCGACGTACTTTGTCTGAGCTTGTTGAAATGTGGCTATCACAATATTTTTCGGAACATATTTCTGAAGGATATGTTCAATTCCAAAACATTTATAACAGAAATTCTCGTGAAAGAAGTTAAAATTAAAGCAAGTGAGAAAAGCTCCGATTCTCAGTACTTTCTTCACGGTGCAGTACAAAGCTGACTATGAGGTCGAGAATCCAAACTATTCTAAAGTTTCTTAAATGCCTTAACAAATCGGGTAACGTGTCCAGCGTACTGACTGTCTTTCCTTCCGTTCCTTTCCCGAGGTCGTCCTTTATGTTTGGAACGCCAGGATGAATGGACAGCACTAGTATGATTCCAGTCTGCAGTTTGAGTTGGTGCCATTCTTATTGTCATAATATATAAATTAGAGCAATATTACACAATGAGACCCCCAACCAAAGTTTTGGTCTAGCATTGGTCTTGTCAGTACAGGGAAAAAAGCAATGAAGGTTACCACGCATATACCTTGGAACAGTTTAGACTATATTCGTTATGACTTATAAAATGAATAAGCTCTCGTCACTGTTTAATCTTATTGTCATGAAAAGCGAAGAAGTTTCTTTTTTAAGTATATTAAAGCATTAGAAAATACATCACATTCACTAGTTACTATTGAAAAAATGAGGTGCGAAATATGCTGAGCCATTTTGTAGTAAACATTCGAACCTTTTGAAAAAAAAATCTTTTCACTTACGGGTGCTCCGTAGACGAGATGAATTCATTTGAGCTTTGCCTAATTGGAATACCACTCACAATTACAGCAATGATTGTTGTAACAAGATAGTAGGTAATCGCTAACGATCCCATTCTCGAGACTGTTTAGCGTCTAAATTATACCTTTATTTCGAGTGCTTCGTTTAGACCACGCTCAAATTTCAATTAATCCTTTTATTACCCAATATGTGGAGTACTGTGCAAAAAACGTTTGCGCCAGCCGGGACATATTGGGTATACTATAAGATCATACCACTGCAAGTGGCAGTCAAAATGAAAGAATTTAGACTGATTATCGATATCCAATGTCTGTCAACACAAGTGGGTTCAATGCCGATAGCGGCTGCCCCGCCAGACCGTCGACGGTTGGCTCTTGGCAGACAACGCGTTATAGCGCAAATAAGAGTTCTGTGCAAAGCGAGCGTCGGTAGTGCAACGGTTAGCATACGCTCCCGGAAAGAGCGAGATGTGGGTTGGAATCCCGGCTAACACAAACGTTTCTGCACAGTACTCCACATATTGGGTATACTATAAGATCATACCACTGCAAGTGGCAGTCAAAATAGAAAGAATTTAGACTGATAATCCTTTCATTATTATTTGAGCCAACTTGTCATGTGGTTTGATAAGAGCTTTTGTACAGCCCGATACACGTGTTTAGTCTTTACAGACTCCTCAGTCGGGCAGAACCCGTTGTCTTTCATTCTTTTCATAGTCAGTTCTCTCGGGAGTCTCATACTCCTTATAGAGAGTCATGGAAGACGAACGCTTTACACTCCATGTCAAGTGAAACCCTCACCCAACACAGAGTGTTGCGCACTCGATGGCTCTTCGGCTGGTATCGAGGACGAAACACGTGTATTGGGCTGTACAAGAGCCCTTACCAGACCACATGACAAGTTGGCTCAAATAATAATGTTTAGCGTCTAGTTGTGAAAAACCTGGGAAAAATCGCTTGTGACTTGAACGAGTACTCATTTTCAATATTCTCGCTGTTTTTAGTGTTAAAAAAAGTTTTTCGTGAGAAAAAGACCGTAGAATCAAATTCCGTAAAGACCCCAAAAATTAGGCACAACTCACTGGAAAGGATGTCTTAGCTTGTGAAGAATATTGTTGCTCCAGTCTCATTGAATGAATTTTTTTGGAGATAAATTGAGGCACGCAGATAGAAATGTTGCACTTTTGAATAAGTGCTAGAGCTAATCTGAGATTAGAGAACTGATAATTAGAGGAAGAATCATCATCTTCAACATCCTCATCAACAGCTCTCCAGGAAAGCTTACCACCATGATCGTCTGAGTCGAATCAATTAGAAAGCAATGATTAATTTGTGGAAATAACACTTCACACTGCATGAGATGTCATTTCATCGAAAATTCTCAACGGTTTCTCAAATTAGTGTGCTTTAAAAGTTTGGACCTTTACGGAAAAAAGAATAGATTCGCAGAGGACACAGACACATAACGAGGAGTTATCTGAAGTAGCAGTCACCATTTCCTCACAGGAATATAAGACCTCAGAGCGTAGAATTTTGAAAGCATTCTGGATAAACATCATCAATCCACACATGAACCGCAGGAACGGATAGCTCATAATTACACTTGATATGGAAACAAAGTCTTTCTTTCTGATTAGGCAATCGTTGCAGCATTAAACAACTTTATAAAACGCTTCCCATGCTTGAAAATAAAACTTGATACATCTAACTCTTGTAAATTTATGCTAAAGCTTGGCACTGTGTATTTCACGCTATTGCGACCGGATGCATGGCTACATTAGTTACATTACATTAGTTATCAAGAGACAAGAACACTACATTAGTTTATCAAGAGACAAGAAGAAAGTGGTGATTCGAAGACTGTTCATAACTCAATGAATCAAGAATGAAATCACTGAATTACCAGGCGAAAGAGACGTGCACATTATGGGAGATTTCTACGAAAATTCTGAACAAAGCTCGAGGATGACGGAAGTATCAAAGATGATGACGGTGCTTAAATCACTTTTCATCCCTAAGTAGTCAGTAACTTTTTACACCAACAGCAAGCATTAGGACTGATGATATTGACGGGCATAAATGACTCTATGTAGTGGCGTTGAATTGTCCAGCATGGGTTGGATCTGGTTTAGAGTGTGCACAGCGAAAAATTGTTTGTCGAATAATCACATAAAATTATCCATCAATTAGTGACTGTTATGAAAACAAAATCTGCAGTCTTGAATCATCCAATCAAGTCAATGGGATGAAATTTTTTGATAACTGTTTGGAACGTTTGCCTCGAAATGTTATTTGCTTTGCACAGTTCATGAATGCCAGTTATGTTGATTTGCCCCATAATTTCTTTCGCACTATTGTTATCTTCAGTTTTTTTCCTATTTCAAATTAGGTATAATACAGAATTTTTGATATGTTGGAGGGAGCTTCAATAGTTTTAGTAGACACTTGGATACGGCCGCAGTACTATCGCTCGTCATCCGAATGGCGACCGTAAAGGATGATTCGATGGACTGCACTGATGCATTGACTGACCACACCACATTGCAAAGTCAACTCGCCACATTTTGGAGGTACTGGGCCCGGGCCACGGTATCACATCCATCGAAGAGTTCTGATATTGCTCCATAGGATTATTATCTCTTCTGTATGTTGAAACAACATCTGTGGTTGAGGAACCCAAAGACTACAACTACTCCAAAATGACTTCAACAACTTCTTCTTTCACCAGCCCATCTTTCCTGACAGGAAGGCAGCCAACCCATGCCCAGCTAATGTTTGCGCACCATTGATCATAATAGTGATTATATTGTTAATCAACTGATTTTCTGCGACTTTCAAGTTTACAAATATGACTACGCCGTCTTATTTCTTCCAATAATAGTGGGAATAAAGATATGCAAAGTCTTTTTCCAAATTGAGAGTCGATAGAAACGCTATTCATTCATACGTTTTGCACACATTTATTTCACTTAGTGGTTTTTACAGAACTTTGAAGAAGACGACTTTTGTACCGAAGAACGCCTTTGAGAGAAATCTTCCCACATATTTATTAACGAAAGTGATTCAAATTGCTTGAATTAGGCACCGTTCAGTTGCGCATTTTCTTTGCGAACATTTTGGTATACAACTTACTTATAGTTGCCTCAAGATGGAACTGTCGTGGGAACAATGCTTGTTACTTTCCACAAACATTGTCGAAATCGCTCCACATTCGTTCCGCTTGGCTGATGCTTGGTGTTATAAGGGCGATATCATAACCTAAGCGAAGATGGTTCAATTGTCGACCGTCAATTTTCACTCCCATTTCGTCCCATTCTAATGTTCGCATGACGTCTTGTAGGAGGGAAGTAATTAATTTTGGCGAAATTCTACCGCCTTGGCGAACCTCTCTTCTTACGTCGAAGGTGATATTGTTGTAGAATGGATCGTGAAATCTTTATAAAGCTCACGAACGATCATTACGTACCTAGTAGGGACGCCCTTGTTATCCACAGCTTCTTCAACCGCTTCTGTTTCCACTAAATTAAAGGCTTTCTGCATATCGATGAAAGTGAGATAGAGTGGTTGTTGAGATTGACAAGGAATGAAATACATCGTTTAAATGTGCTTGACTCTAGCTGTCGAATGAATACTAAAGCGTTTTATGAGTATCTACCAAAGGGTTTAAACAGGGTGGAGAGAAGGGAAAGAACCGCAATACCTCCATCCCTTCTTCGCATACCATGGCTAGAAACAGAGAATTCGAAGAAAATTATGCCTTAATCTGAGAAATGGGAATCTAAACTGCATTAATAATCAAAAAAAGTATCAAGAATCATCTATGAAGTGGGATCGCATCCAACAAGCACACTATTTTTGACGAACCTCTCATTGTTTTCCAATTTTCAGCCAGTACGATTAATTTTATGCACTTCATGCAATAAAGTATACGGATAGATGAAAGGAATGGAAGATGGATTCGATCGAATTTTAGGTAAGTATGAACAAAATATTGTAGAAATGTTCGATAAAGCTTCTAAAGATAGCCTTTTCATGGATACTTGATTTTTCCTTTGAAAGCGTGGATTATGAATGGAGCAATTGCGTTATTTCTTATGAAAATAACCTTACTGAGGTCTGTTTTATCACATCAGACAACTCATTGACACAGAAATCCCAAATATTGACGAAAAAGTATATTTTTTAGTAGAAAACTACCATATTTCCTTGGAGCGCATATAGGCGGCTCTTTTCGCAGCCGTCTCAGCCGCCCGCCAGCCGAAAAAGACACCGTCCGCAAAGGGATAAAGAAGCTGTATTTGGGAATGTTCGCAAGAAAATGCGCTTTCGATTGATACCGAGATAATACAATTGATTCAATGTCAAAAATCATATTTTTGATCAAATCAAATCAGCACGAACTTCGCACTTTTGCTGCAAAATGACGCATGACTTTATGTTCAAACGCCGATCGAAAACCTCATCAAAGATTAGGTAGCTTTGAAGAAATTGGCTTTTTTCGAGTTCGAAAGTCGTCATCTTCAAAGTCCTATGAAAACCACCATATCAAATATTTTACATATAAAAACGCGTAGATAATAGCGTTCTCAATGCACTTCCAAACAAAAAAAATCTCAAAATCTGCATGTCCTTATTTTCACTATTATTACAGGAAAAAAGAGATTTGAAGTTCGCACTTATCGTACTTGTTTCTCAATGTTTCTGTTAAAACATGCAAGAATCGCTTTCCATACGATTCTGCAGTTACTGAGTTCAAACAAAAATAGATGAAAATCAGTAACTTTGAAATTTTTCTGTATTTTTCCGTTAGGCAACACGGGATGTGGAAACGACCCTCTTCGTTGGACAAAAATTTCTAATAAAAGTGCCAATAATCATACGAAAGGTTAAATCTTTGACTAACGCACTACCTACTCGTTTTTAGGAAAGCCTTTTCATGACGCTATAGCAAAAGAAAAACATTTCCATTTCACTCACGCCTGTTTTTCCCAGGACAGAGCTCATTTGATGAAACCGTTTCAGTGTGGTTTAGCATGGAAAATAAGATCGAGTTCCATATACGCGCATTTGTTTTTCACCTTGCTTGTGGGCTGGGTACGTGGTGGTTTTTGTTTCGATATCGCAATCAGCTAATCCTGCTGGCACAACTCACATGTGGAGTGCAATTTTTGTTATTAAATTTGGGGTTGGTCTCTGCTATAAAAGAAACTTCAGATAAGGCGTATGATTCTGGTACTACAAGATTTCCTCCACGCGTTCATATGCTTTCCTCGCTTCCAGTGAACTTATAGTAAAAGCGCGCGCTCGGTGTGATTCGCAATTTTATTTTGAATGATAAAACATTACAAAAAAGGTCGTCCAGAAAAGAGCTAGGTAACGCAGTAGCCGAGAATTTCGGTTTTTGAATACCACTAATTACGGAAAGATCTTGTCCAGCGGAAGGGTCGCTTCTTCATCCCGTGCTGTCTGTCTAAAGGAGAAACACCGGTTTTAGA